TTGATGTAATGTAAAGCTGTAGCAATTAGACATAATATGGCTAGACCATCTGTTAAAAATTAACACTTTGTGTACCTAGCTAGAGACTAGCAATTGCAGTCATGTATGAATACAATTGTGTCAAATAAGCACAGTCTCATTTAAGACATAGCTCAGTACAGTACTGCCTTGGTCTAACTGCTTTTTTTCAAGTATGCCATGTATACAAGATCACCATCTTTGAAGAGTACTTGTGTGCCTGTTTTGCTTTGTGTTCTTGTGAGAGAGTTTGGGACTGACCTTCAATTTCTGCTTCCTGTCTGTAGTGGTGACAGTTCGCACAGCCTTACTGTCTTTCAAGGGTTTTCCAGTGGGCCATATCCAATTTAGACTTTGGAATTCACAGGAACCACAATTGGTTTTACACTAATAACTGTTTCTCTTGCAGCTGCACTCTTCAGAAGCTTGAAATAATTTTTTTCTTCTATAGCAAATGAAGAACAGTTTTCCTCTTTAGTCCATATTGCTGCTGGCAATCTGAAAAAACAGTGTTGCTGTATGAAAGGCCTGTGTATTAGGTAAGGTGCGTAGTTCCAGCGATGCCTGTTTGATGAACGGCAAATTTGAAGACATCTGGATTCCAGCTCTCTCTTGCTAATGAGGACCTTGTGTTTTTGAATGGTGGGCCTTTCTACCTGAGGGAAAACAAGGTCTGAGGAAATATCTTGTTCACTGGTATTGATTTTCAGGGATTTATAAGTATATGGAAATTTGGCTCAGGTTTTACTTGCCAGAGTGTGCTAGAATGCACTAGTGAAAAGATAGTATCCATAAGGTGCTCTGCACTGTTCTGCTTACACTGAATTTATGACTGGTAGCTGCATCCATCATCCTGATACCACTGAATGAAATGTGTACATCTTTGCTGCAGAAAGAGGCGGAATATAAATAGGACTAAATATCAAACTGGATTGTCCCAAAGCCATGTTGTTTTATGACAGGACAATATTGTAGTAGGCATTAAAGTTCATAAGAACTGCAGCTAGTTCATGTTAGCAAGTGGGGTTTTTTACCTTTGAGAATAGATTCTCATCACCGTGTGATATTTTAAAGAGTTAAATGAAAATTGTTCCTAACTTTAGATATGCATCTGCCACATCGTATGTGGACATCCCTATGCATTGCTATTTGTCAGACGTTTCTTGGAGTCCTCACTCAAGCGAAAGTTGGTTAATTTTTCTAGAAAATATCAGGTGAATACAAAGATTGGGGGATTTCAGTCCCATCTGAAGTGGTTTTGGTGGGTATATGCAAGAATGGAAAAAGAGGATTATCTTACTTCTGACCTTTTCCAAGAGTGACTTTGCTGATATATGTTGGATCTGAAAATCTAAATGGATTGTCTGTAAACTTTATGCATTTTTATCCCCTGGGAGCCTGGCATATCACATAAATATTGGAAATAAGTAAGTAAATGACTTTTGACATTTGGCCTTTTTTTCCAATCCTATAGGACGCTAGTATAAATTCTGATTGCCTGTCTGTCCTCTTGTGTACAAAATACATTACCCTGTGTGTGACCTTCAGCCCTCGCTCAGAAGCTAGTGAGCTGAAGAGGTGGTGTCAACAACATGGAATAATTATGTTATTTCTTTGCATGCTGGCACTAAGCAGTCACTTTGTTGGCTGAGAAGTCATCCTCAGTTGTAAATGACTGCTACAGAAGTCTGCCACAGAGGTAGTTTCCCATGGATTCAGGAATCCCCAAATGCGTGCTTGTGGCAATAATCAAACTTGAAATGCAGCACTCCTGTGCCAGTGGCCATGGGAATCAAGGATTCATGTATGCAGAAAGAACATAAAAATGATAGTATTGAATTGGGCCTGTAGTTTGTTGCCTGATGTTTTGTCTCCTGAAAGAAGCCAGATGCAAATACAATGGGAAAAAATACAGTAGAAGGGTAGTGTTCAGCAAAAAATTCCTCTTGCAACACCTCTTGCGGCCTGTGGCTTAGGGTCTTCCTACACCAGCTGCAAGTTTTTTTGATGGATATTCTTTTCCCCTTGTGAATTTTTCCAGTAAATTACAGAGCCTTTTAAAACTTCCACCTTCTTTCCTTCCCATGTGAGTGAATTCACTCTAACTGAGCATTGTATGAAATAGTATGATATATGTTTTTAACATTAAAGCTGATAAAACATGAATTAAAGGACAAATTAAGAGTGAGTGAATAAACTCTCTTTTCCTTCTCCACTACATTTGCTTTTTTTTAGATTTCTCTCTGTTTTTCTATTTCCTGCTCTGATGTCTGAGCAATGGATAGTTCCAGTGTATTTAATCTGGCCTCTGGGAGAGCTTGCTTATCTTTGTTCTTGGTTGATGAGAAGCTCAATATGACCAGGCAATGTGCATTTGCAGCCCAGAAAGCCAACTGTATTCTGGGCCACATCAAAAGAAATGTAACCAGCAGGTCAGGGGAGGTGATTCTCCCCCTCTACTCTGCTCTCTTGAGACCCCACCTGCAGTACTGCGTTCAGCTCTGGGGCCCCCAACATAAGAAGGACATGGACCTGTTGGAGTGAGCCCAGAGGAGGGCCACAAAGATGATCAGAGGGCTGGAGCACCTCTCCTGTGAAGAGTGGCTGAGAGAGTTGGGGGTGTTCAGCCTGGAGAAGAGAAGGCTCCAGGGAGACCTTATAGTGGCCTTCCAGTATCTAAAAGGGCCCTATAGAAAAGCCAGAGACTTTTTGCTTTTTACAAGGGCATGCAGTGATAGGACAAGGGGTAATGGCTTTAAACTGAAAGAAGGTAGATTTAGATTAGATGTAAGGAAGAATTACTTCACTGTGAGGGTGGTGAGGCACTGGAACAGGTTGTCCAGAGAGGTTGTGGATGTCCCATCCCTGGCAGTGTTCAAGGCCAGTTTGGATGGGGCTTTGAGCAACCTGGTGTAGTGGAAGGTGTCCCTGCCTGTGGCATTGGGGTTGGAACTAGATGATCTTTAAGGGCCCTTCCAACTCGAACCGTTCTATGATTGCAGCCTTTCCTTTTTTTTTTTTTTTTTTTCCTAGTGCTACTGCTTTTTTTTTCTTTGAGATGTACTGGTTGATAGGTTTTTGTCTTCTTCCAGGAGTAATATATAAAAACTGGTGTCAAATATTGCCACTTCCCATTCCTCTGGTAGTGAGGGCTATCTCAGAAGATAAACATGGCAGGTTTTCAGAGGTTCATATTTGGCTTCTTCCAGCATGCTGAATGAACAGTGACCAGTCCTTGCAGTGGTCTTGGCCTGACCGGACTGGTCTTGTTTTATTTTATAAGATTTGTTTCTAATGCTTCTGTAGCTCAAGTTCAGTCTTGCTTGTTTCTCTGATTTGAAGCCATTTCAGTGCCACAGCAATCCTTCTGGCCAAATCTGATTTGGCTATTAGATATCTGTCTAACAATCTGTGCAGCTTCCCAGTTACTTGAATCTGATAGTGCAAAATCATGCTCAGAAACTCCCAGCTCCAGAAGCTCTGGAGTGGGTTTCAGAAACTCAGTGTGGTGAAGTACCATGGACAGGGACTGCTCAGCCTGTCCTCCCCTCTGGCTGCAGAACAGAAGATAGCCTGGCAGTGAGAAAGACTTGTTATATGCAGGAGGATCTTGGCGTAGATGCATGATACAAGTCTTGCTTAGCATTCAATACCTATGATTTTTGATTATATGCTGCAGGCAGAGTATTTGTTGGAGGATTTGGATGAGAGTTCTGCTTTATCCTCATTCCCCTTTCCCCAGAAAAGGAAATTACTATGCTGTAAGTCTTTACAGCTCTCATGCTGTATATATTCATGAGAATATATTATATTACTGATCATAGCAGCTTCTTGGTTATAAGATTTAGTAAGTTGTATGTAACATTTTGTAGCTTCAGGCCCTTTATATTTGTAAAACATATTCTTCATTCCTTGTGTCAACTTGATAGCCATGAAAGATGTTGTCTACCTATGCACAACATACAGAAGACATTGGCAGGGCAGACAGCCTTACCTTATGAACAGGCTTTAACCTTGAAATAAAGGAGGTGCCTTTAGATGAACAATTTCCAATTGTAAAGTGAGAGAATTCTGCTGAATTTATGCTGGTGTGTTTGATCTCTTAAATTGATTAATTTGATCCATTACCTCTGAAAGATAGCTCATCCTCTGGCAAGGAAGACACTCTAATCTTTGTAACCAAAGTCTCCCTAACTGTATTGCATTCTTCCATAAGTTACTTTACAATTCTAAGAATGGAGTTTGGCGTGTAGATTTTGTTCAGTTGGAACTGCACTGACACTGTTAAACAAATTTAAAAATAAGTTACCAAGTAGTGCTGAATATTGGAAACACTGGGAGATGTTGACCTGGGTTAGATTGGAAATGTCGACCTAAAGATGAATGACTTTTTCAGTTCCCTGAACCATTTAAAGGCTAGAATGTATTTATTTCTAAAATAAAGTCAAGGAAAAATTCCCTAAAGTAATAATTCAGAGGTACTGTGGGATCACTGGAAGTCTAACAATTTTTCAAGCTAATAAGCTTTAGATTGTCTGTAAGCTGAATCTGTGAAGCTTATATTTGCACAAAATCTATTTCCTAGTAAGTAAAAATTGCTCAGCTCTAGTCTGTGTGATCATTCCTTACTGACTGTAGCTTTAATGAGTAAACAGAATGAATATGTTAAATAATCAGCAATGACATTTTAAAATTAAAAAGAAAATATATTCCTGTTAGGTGCTTTTTTCCTCTTAATTAAGTAGAGTTATGTCTTATTCTGAATAACAGTTGTCTTATTTGTTTGTGTAAAACATATAAATTCAGTGAATATGTGCAGAATGGGAATATTAAAGGTCATAGCCTAGAATTATTATTTATGTGCACCACAATCTCACATAACACTGTTAAAGGCAGAAAAATCATTGTTTTTAAAATATATTTCTTTTTTTATCTTTTAGGCAGTATTTTGCATTTCTGCAGAGCTTTGCACAGATCCTGTTCCCATGCAAACTGATGAGGGAGAAATACTGGAGGAAGGCAGTCCCAAGGTCAGTGAGGTAAATGCCACTGTGTTTTGGAGGAACAAGAGCTTGCTTGGCTGAAATGGGGGGCACATGGAGTGAGCAGTGACTGCTGGTGGTATTTTTATTAAATATCTGCATGCAAGTAAATAATATTTATTACCCTGGAGATATTTAAAAAAAAAAAGTTTTTAAAGACCTTTAGAAAGACAGGCTTTTTTGCTGTCTACTAAGGGTTGGAACATGTGTGTTCAGGCACTCGCAGGAAGGAAAGAGGAAACTTTTGTAAAGAAGTTCTAACCTTGATTGTCTTCCATTTATTAGAACTGGAAGGGCTTGTCAAGCTTTCTGTCCTACCCACCCACCCTTTCAACTGACTTAAAGAATTAGGCATGTGGGCCCTTAGGTGCAGGTGTAGGGGTTTGTGGATTACCCACTGATGTATATTCAAGGTGTTCTGCTTCTTGTTTCCTTGTACTTGCCAGCATGTGCTTTGTTGCAAGACTGGATAGTATGTTGCTTTTAAAGGTACCTCTGATTCTCAACATATCTTGTTGGGACAAGAGGCTATGAAGTGGGCTGTTGAATATAATGTTGCTTGTGTCTTGCTTTTCACTTCTTGAAGGTGCAGATGTTGAGTCAGGAATTACTTTGGTTTCCATAATGACATAGTGATTATCATATTCTTCAATAGGTTTATAAATTTACTTTATATTCCTGACTATCTCAATGAGTTAATATTAACTTTGCAACTGATCTCTGTTTAAAATATGGCTCCTAATTTCACGAAAATATGAATCGTTGTTATCTTGCTTGTAGTTTTGTGTAAGAGACTGGCTGAAAAAGCAAAAAACTAGAGGACTAAAATTAAAATTTGTTGTTTTCTAGCTAGAGCTTTTTTGAGAAATGTTCTCATTGGTTTATGCTCTAATAGAACCAAACATTTTTAAGCTGTAGGCATCAAGTTAGGAGGTGATTAATTAGTAGAGGAATGATTTGGCAATTGTCCTGCATGTACTTTAGGAGTTGTGTTAATTTTAAATAGCTTTGAAGGAAGGCTCACTAGATTAGGAGCTGACAAATGAAAACACATCAATGGATGTACCTGCAGCCATCCAGGGTGCTGGATACATCTCTTGATAAGGATTTGATTACAAGGTTCAGTGGGGGATAGACATGAGAGAGGAAACATCATGGTGCAATTAATTACTAATTTTATTAGTATGGTTATTGGTACTTACATTTCAATGAACAGAGAGAATCTGTGTGTATGTGTATATTCCTGTATATATGCACAGGGGCCTGTATGTATGTGTGTGTATATATATATGGATACATAGCTTTCATTTTTTTGTCTGTGTGGCAGGAAGTAGATTGAAGTAACTTACTCTTTTTTTTTTTCTCCAATGAAAAGTATGCTTTTCTTTGGCGTTCTTAATTCTGGCTATAATGGCAAAGATTGTATCTCTATTCCAGCATTAGGTGCTCAAAAAATTTTGTGAGCTTGAATTTCAAAACAGATCCTTTAGACTGACTTTAAATACCTAAGTGTGTATGCAGTATTGCTTTGAAACAATTGTCACTTAGAGAACGTGGCAGATTTGGAATCATACATCTGGTATTCGGTGTTATTAATTAAAGAGCTATATAGGATCAGTATATATTAAGCAAAAAAGACTCATGACTAAATCTAGTCCTTCTCCCCATCCTGTGAGGTACAGGACTACTCACTGAAGTGCATTTTTCAGTGTTTCTTTAGTCTGTAAATGATTATCCTCTCTTTCCTGGTCTCAGGAGAGTTACATAGCTATAACAATTGAAGGATTTGTCCTAGAAAAATTTAGGCAAAGTATATTCCACTATATTGTCTTGTATCATTAAAATTGTGTCCTTAATTTACAAATGTTTACATTATCTAGTGAGCCATTTTCATAAAGATATCTTTTTCTAAGAAATATTTTTTAAGACTGCAGTAATATAGTTGGTTTTTAACTTTTGTCAGAACTGCCCCCCCCCACCCCCCCACCCCTCCTCTGGGCAGATTAGATGAGGGTTTTTTGGAAGAAGTTAGTTCTGTGCTTTGAACATGCTAATATAACTACCTATTCATTAATATTTTATCTGGACCTTTCATTTCTCACCTTCTACCCATTCAAAACATTAATCTGTAAATAAAAGCCAAATATATAATTATTGTTATGCTTATTGTTCAGATCACTGGATCTGTTCGTGTGGGTTTTTCTAGGTGTTTTTTTTTATACTGGTATTTAAGTACCAGTAATCCTTTTGGACCTCGCTCAGTTTACACTCTGTTCTCAAAAATCCCATAATTTACCTATTCTTTTGCCTTCACAATAAATTATTTTTTGAGCCTGTAAATATCTAAAGAAGCAGTCGTCTTCTAGTATTTTATTTCCTGTGAACATTTAAGAAGGCATTGGAACACTTAATATGTTAGCAGCTCCTTTGAACCTCTTTTCTTAAACATTGTAGAAGTTAAGTCTGCAGCTCATAGGTTTTATGAGATTAGTAAATGCTGATGAAGCACATTCCAGCTACTTCAGTGATGATAAATTTGATTATATCATATATGAGGTTGGATTAAGGCCCCATTCTTAGCCTTTGCTCTGAATAATTCATTTCTAGCCAAAAAGAGATTTTTGCATGTGATATGAAGAATGAAATTACTGTTTATGGTGATTCGTAGCATCTTTTATTGGCTGCATCAGAATAATTATGAAATAAAAGTGGTCTTTTGGTCTTGAAATTATTTCTGCGGTCTTGTAGGACTTCAACAACAGTATTAAAGCTATTGTTGCAAAAGGTGGAAAGATTGTTGCAAAAGGAAGAAAAGATTGTAGGACTTATTTTTTATACTTTTTTGTTTGTATCTTAATACAAACAAAAAATAACATAAAATGTAAGTTAAAACCTACCTATTATTCAAAAGACAAAGGCCCAGACCTACATGCTGGAATGCCTTGATATCAGCTACACTTGAAGCATTTCTTTTGACTGTAATCTGACTAAATGGCCTTGCTGTGATTGTGCTTGACACTTTTTTTTTTTCCAGAATGCAAGATGCTCGGGGTCTAGTAGGTAGTTCCCCACAGTTCCAAATTTCTCTCTTATTCAGTTTTGGTCTTGACAAGAAGTAGGAAACCTACATTTGGGCCTCTTCTGGAATGTTCCTATTATCGCTTCACCTGAATTTAAATTGCAAAGCACTTGAACAAGCAGTCATGGAAAATTGTCTTTAGAGTCTGTAGCCAAATCCCTTCCATGCTGTACTACATTTTGCCAAGAAGTGTCTTTGCCAAAACATCACTTAACAATCACTTCTGGCACTGTCTTAAGTTGATCTTGAGTTGAAAATTGATCTGTCTTATTTTCTATAAGTATGCATTGAACTTGAGGGAAAGCAAGTAAATATACTAACTTACAGAGGTATCTGTTATATTGATATCAAGGTGTTTTGTCTTTACCACCATGGAAAGACATGCTCATAAGTTATCTTTGTAAAAAGTAAGGCTTACTATGTGAAGTTCTGTATCTCAAACTGTTAATACTCTGTAATGACTCTTCTGACTCCACAAAACAACAAAGCAAGAGGGGTTGATACATATTGCACAAAAGCAGTGATTAGAATAACAGTCTCAGTTACCTGAGACTGCAGATCCCATGACCAGTTATCAATATTTGTTTCCAGAGTCTTCAGTTAAAAGAAAGTTTAACTGATAGAAAAGATGTCACGCATTTTGCTTTTTATGTTCTTGTCCAGTAGCATGGGAAGAAGCAGTACGTTAATGCTGTCAGCAGTCCTAACCACTAGGAAGCCTTGGTACTTCTGGAATCACAAGGGCATCACTTGAGGAACCAAATTTATTGTAGATTGAGGTATACTTGAGTGAAATATGCTGGGGTGCCAGGGGTAACATCAAAAATCATCTTTCATGGAGATACCATGAACATCAGGATATAAAGATTTGGGTACTGCAAGAATTAACTTTCTTATGGTGCCAGTCTAAAAATAACCTAAAAAGTTATGCATGAAGACTCTTATACAGTGGAAAACAAATGATATACCATGCTTTATTCCTTGTGAACTGGTTTGGTTCTATAACTGTTTCAGATTTTCTGGCATCCTAGACTGTATAGTATTCTGAGATTTGAAGAGAAAAGGAGATTCCTTTCTGGTTTTGGAAAGGAAAAAAAATCGTGCCTCATGTAGAGCTGAGCAGGTCACATCAAAGACTAAATATTTATGTGCTTCGAACTAATCAACATTACACGAGGTATGATTAGAAAATTGAATCCCTGCAGTCAGGCGACATGAAGAGTGATAGTCTTGCTTGACTCCTGTCAAACCTGGTGGCACTGCTACAAAAGCTGGCCTTTGTGCTTGCCTTTGCTACTCTTGAAATGAATGACAGAAATCCAATGGCAACTTTGTGGTAATTAAGCTTAAGGAAAGTTACTGATGGACTCAGTCCTCACTTTGTTTTTTTCCCCCACTGTTACTAATTCATACATTTTTATTTCCTTTTGTAATTTTTTTTTTTTAATATTGTGGTAGTTGAGTTGTGCTCTTGTTCTTCTCAAGTTTGCATACTTGGGAAGTTTCTACAGTTCTTCCCTTTAGTTTTTTGGCAGTGTATCCTTTTGTCATTCATTGGATTGCTTTCCCGCAAAGAGCGGGTTTTGTGCATGCTCTTTCCCCTTCTCCCCTGCCCTGTCCCATAGGCTGCTTTTGGAGAAACTTACTGTCTTGGTAGTTTTGTTGCCAGCACTTTCCATCTTAACTGGTTCCATTGTTTGATCTCACAGTTTCTTCCTTGTCAGACTGTCAGAAAATACTCTTTCTGCTGAAATGGTATCAACATGGTAAAGACAGCTGGCACCTGTCAATAGTATGCTCTTGATTCCAATGATTATCTAATATCAGTGCTACAAAGAGGGAAAACAACCTGTACAGAAGTAAGCTTTTTCAAATGAGCATAGATTTTTTTTTAAAAACAGTTATTTTT